GCAATTCGTCAGTGTCTTTACTCCCGGCTCAGAAACGGACTTGGTAAGATAACTTTTTCTTGCAACACTAGTTAGCTTTTCTCTTTGTTTTCTGTTCAAGTAACATCTGTATGTTTTCCAGAACCCTGTATTTGTAGTAAAATGGAGAGTTCTAGATTCAGGATTAATTCACATCCTCAGTTAATTAGCAGCTTCCTTCATCATAAACACACGCTCATTTTTAATTTTTGAAATATATCTGTGCACAAATTATTGTTAAAGTTTATTCATTGTTCGTTTTACTCATGAAACAGCAAATAGGACAATTCAGATGTTCCTGTACAGTTGCTTGTGTCCATTTTAACTGCCTTCCTAGGGTATAATTTTGTGTAAAGTATTTTATTCTGCTTCATTGAGAATAACCAGTTGGGAAATAGAAGCCTCAAAATCCCAGATAATTATCACTAGTAATTAGAATTATTAGAATATTTCGATTAATAATAGTTATAACTTTTTAAGTTTCAGAGAAGGCCCCCACCTCCTGTTCCTCTAGAAGAAGAGGAGGAAGAAGAAGAAGAAGTAGTAATAGCCATGTATGATTTTGAGCCCACGGAACCTCATGATTTGAGATTAGAAAGAGGTCAAGAATACACCGTAATTGAAAAAAATGACGTTCATTGGTGGAAAGCAAAAGATAAATATGGGTAAGGAATACAGTCATCCAGTTTAATTTTTTACTATAGGCAAAAATAATTTACGTATTATATTATGATAGTCTTTGCTAATATTTTGTTGTGATTTTCATGCCTCTATAGTATATTTTAACAAAATTAAAATAGAAATTCTGAACAGGTTTTTGACAGAGGTGAGCAAACAGCTGAGTTTAATCTAAATAGGATAAAGATGTGATGGTAAAGCTATTTGCTCATCTCCATGGAGAAGGTCAAGGAATGCTAGACTGGTTTGAACTGAGGCTGGCTTTTTCAAAGACCTTCCTATAAGTATCTGAACCATTCCAGGCTTTAAGATTAGCCACTGAAAGATTCATCACCTTTGCAGGCAGAAGAGACTAAGCTTTTTCAGTAACAGTTTCCTCCCTGCTCAACACAAACACACACACACACACACACACAATCACCTACACCTATGTACATATATATGTACATATGTTTGTATGTATGTATGTATGTATACGTGTGTGTGTGTATAAAATCTTCTTTCAATTGTTTTATGCTCTGGTTGGTGTTGGCTTTGATGGTGTCAAGCCACCATGTTTTTTGGCAGCCTCGTTTCCTTTGACCGCTGACCATTCCGAGCATAACTGCCTTTTCCAGGGAGTTCGATCACATGACAGGGCCGAAATAAATAAGGCAGAATGTTGTGATTTTGCCTTCCAGTGATATGTCTGGTTTTATATGCTCCAGAACTCACTTGTTTGTCACCTTTGCTGTCCAAAGAATGCGCAGGAGCCTTCTCCAACACCATAGTTTGAATGAGTCAACTTTCCTCCTGTCTAGTTTTTTCATGGTCCAACTTTTGCACCTGTAGGTAGCTATGGGAAACACAGTAGTGCGGACTAATCTGCATTGAGTTGCCAGGCTGATGTCCTTGCTTTTCCATATTCAAGTCACGCTCATCATTGCTGTGCGGCCTAGCGCGATTCGATGCTTTATTTCTGGACTGCATTCACCGCTTTGATCAATCTGCGATCCTAGAAAAGTGAATTCTTGCATGTATTCCATCTCTTCACTATCAGTTGCTGTTTTGACATTTCCATTCCTTGCAGTGGTCATGAGCTTGGTCTTTTTCATGTTCAAGTGAGGCCAAATTTCTCGCTTTCTTCTTAAATCCTTTTGATCAGATGTTTCAGGCCTTCTTTAGTTTCTGAGAGGAGAGTTGTGTCATCAGCATATCAAAGATTGCTGATGTTCTTTCCTCCAATCTTTCCTCCAATGGTTGATTCTTCAAGTTCCAGCTTCCTCATGATCACTTCAGCATACAGGCTGAATAAGAAAGGTGAAAGAAGGCCACTTTGCTGCACTCCTTGCTCTGTCTTGAACCAATCAGTGCCTCCATATGGTGTTCACACAGTGGCTTCCTGATTTGTGTACAGTGAGCACCAACTTGATCAGGTGTGTTGGCATCCCCAGGTCTTCTAGGGCTCTCCACAGCTTGTCATGAATGACACAAGTGAAGCCTTTCTTGTAGTCGATAAAGCAGATGTAGATGTTCTTTTGATATTCTTGAGATTTTTCCATGATCCAGCATAGATTTGCAATATGGTCATGAGTGCCACGGCCCCTTCTGAAGCCAGCTTGAACATCTGGTAATTCCTTTTCAATGGTGCCAGATGTACAATCTTAAGGAGCATCTTACTAGCATGAGGGACGAGGGCTGTTGTGTGGTAACTGGAGCAGTCCTTGGAGTCGCCCTTTTTTGGCAATGGAACGAACACTGATCGTTTCCAATCCTGTGGCCATGTGTTTGTGGTGATTGTGGGTGCTACAGGCCACAACAATTCTGCAGGGATGGTATCAATACCTGGGGCCTTGCCAGCATGACTTCTTCCTGAAAAATGGCTGGTTCTATTTCTGTTTCCCTTTCCTCAAATCATTTTAATTTCCTTAAATTTAATTTCCTTAAATTTAATTTCCTTAAATTTAATTTAATTTAAATTTAATTTCCTTAAATCAGTACCTTTGTTTGAATTATTTTTCAGCTAATTAAATGGCTGGTTCTATTTCTGTTTCCCTTTCCTCAAATCATTTTAATTTCCTTAAATTTAATTTCCTTAAATTTAATTTCCTTAAATTTAATTTCCTTAAATTTAATTTAATTTAAATTTAATTTCCTTAAATCAGTACCTTTGTTTGAATTATTTTTCAGCTAATTATTGGAAGAAATCTGTTAGTATATTTTTTGTACATTGATTTTACGTCCTAGACGGTTTAGATATGGAATTCAAATATTGCTTATCAAATATAGCCTTACTACTAATATATTTTTATAATGCATTTTTAGTATATTGTTTATTTTTATCGCTCTAGAAACAAAGGATATATTCCAAGCAATTATGTAACAGGGAAGAAGTCCAATAGTCTGGAGCAGTATGAGTAAGTAAATATTTACATATCAAATATGATTTTATGTATTTTGAATGCTTCATGGAAAATAGCTAGCTGAATCAAGTATGTGATAATATTGCATTAAGACGCTGCATCTCCAGAAGGAGAAATCTGATGCTTAAGAGTCATTCCTGACCAACTCCGGAACTCCATATGATGCTGCAGAAGACGGTAGAATCCATTATTCTTCACATACCAGCCAGGTTCTCTCAAGGACCATGTAATAGCCAAGAATAAGTTCTCCCATTCAGATTCAGCAGCAAGTTGCCTTTTGAACTGCCTTATTAAAATGAATTTTGTTTTACTTCATGTACTCTTACAATTTGGTTTTATCATAAGCGGTTTTATTGACTGTTTTTATTGAAAATTGAAGTGAATTGAGGCACAAGAGAGGAACATGATTGAGGTGTACAAAGATAAAGTGGACAAGGAGAAGCTAGTTTCCCCTTCCCAAAAATACTAGAACCAGAGGTCATTCAATAAAATTGAATCCTGGAAGAATCAGGACAAACAAAAAGTTTTTTTTTTTTAATGAAACACATAATTCAACTTTGGAATTCGCTACCATGAGATGTGCTTGCTACCAGCTTGGCTGGCTTCCAAAAAGGGTTGGACCAGTTCATGGGAATCATGGGTTTATATATAAGGATATAAATATTGGGGCCATAGAATGTTCTAACTTGAATGCAAAAAGGTGCTCTGGAGCATGCAAAGCATGAATGTTGTACCTGCCCATAACTCCTTAAAGCAGCCACCCTTTTTCCTGAGATAGTGCAGTCATCTTCTGCAGCTGCCTCATGGGAAGAGATGTGTTTGGTTTAAGGAAATGCAGACAAGTGCTGCCTTTTGTGCTTTGAAAAACATGTCTTACCTTCAAACCTGAAGACCTAGTAAATGTGCACACACATGCAAAGGTAGCATTAATATGTAACATCCTAAAATTGTACTGGTTTCCTCTTCTCTTTAGGTGGTACTGTAGAAATCTGAACAGAAGTCAGGCAGAGCAACTACTCAGAAATGAGGTGGGCTTACCATGATTGTGATGCATCTAACTAAAATCCAACACAAAATTGTTTTTAGAATAATGCTTCAACGGGTGTCAAACGCTCAGTGTTCATTAGGGCCATGCAAAGCATTTGGAAGAGGAGCTTTGCGAAGTATAATAGCGTGACCAAAACTCCTCTTTTTGGAGCATTAAAACAGTCATGTCTTTTGGAAGACTTACACAGGTGCTTTGAGAGAGATCCTTGAATGTCCCTGCAGGTGTGTGACAGCCATGTCGTTGACCGTCACAACAGGAATGTTGCCAGCCACAATCAGACAACCAGGAACAGCATTCAAAGACGTTGCATGAATCTTTCAAAGAATGCTTTAGTTCCAAATTTCACTTTAATTTTTTAACTTCGAGACTGTTCTAATGCTTCCAAGAGAGGTGCTGTGTTCATGCTAGCAATTTTGTTTCGGGAAGCACCTTGTCAGCCCAGGCTTAGCATGCCTGGAGTATCTTGCAATTGAAATGCTATGTAAGTTTCATAAGTGAATTGTGAATCTTGCAGATCATGCAACAGTAGTTTGATACATAATAAAGATTTCATTTCTTTTTCTTGGATTTTAGGATAAAGAAGGGGGGTTTATGGTGAGGGACTCCAGTCAACCAGGTTTATATACAGTATCGCTTTATGCAAAATTTGGAGGGTAAGTCACTGAACCCACTGATGACAGCCAGTTCTCCCTTGCACATTTTAAAAAATGCTTATATGCTTACAGAGACCTAATCTTTTAAAAAATAAATGTTCTACTACTGTGTTGAGGCTATAAGATGAGATCCATTTATTGAAACAGCAAATTGGATCAACTAAACTAAATAAAGTACTGCCTGACATTGATGTTACTGTTTGCAGTATTAGACTAAATTTGATAAACTTAATCTCCCAAATTTTCAGCAATCAGGACCAAATATAAATAAACTGGGTATGAATGAATTTTTTCATACACATATGCATACTCATTCAACTTTCAGTTTCCAAAAATTCCTTTCTTTTTTAGCCATATAGCTGCAATTATGCTGCTAGTATTAATGTTCATATATAAAGCTCTATTAGCATTTTGTTGGCTTCCGAAATGGTGTAACTCCATATTGCATGTATTTCTGAATATATGAGATTTGCTTATTTTCAGTTAGGGCATCCAAAAATATTAATACAGCAGAATCCAGTCTATCTTGAGCTGTATCCAGAATATCAATTAATAATTGTAAAATATGCAATGCTTACCAATAGAAGAGAATATGCTAGCACTGAAGATGTTACCTAGCCGGGTTATGAAACATTTGCAAGAAAACAACCAAGCTCAGAGAACCCCAAGGACTCCATATAGACAATGCTTGTCTATTTTTAATAAATCCAGATTAAGATGGGTGAATAATACGTGGAAAACATTGTAGGAGGAGTGTCAGAGTCTGCACACTCATTCCCAAAGTTCAGTAAATCCTCTGGAGTCTAAACAGTTCCATCAAAGATTTCTTTATT